TTGAAATTGTACGAGTATACAGTTAGTACTCGATCGTCACATTTGCGGAGACGTATATAAATGCGATTCCTTGGAGAGGACCAAATGTAATTATTATTATATTATTATATTATTATATTATATATTATTATATTATATATTATTATATTATATTATTATTATATTATATTATTATTAATTATTATTAATATTATTATTGTATGTTTTTCATAAGTCATCACAAGAAGAAAACCTAGAATGTAAAGAAAAAAAACCTTTTTATGAAATGTGTTTGTTAGGAATTTGATTTGCTTATATAATTGCATATTGCAATTACATGGCTACATTATCGTCTCTCTTTTGTTTTATTAATATCGATTATCGAACATTTTTTATGACGGTCAACAATCAAAGTATTTTCTGGCCCCGAATCCATCTTGTAGACAAATCTAAGAACTTCTTCTGCTTTAGATTGATTTTTAACCTTCTCCCTTAGCTGTTCGTTCGATTTTTCTAACATGCATTCGCTGTTAACGAATAAAACTTTTTCTGTACTTTCTTGGATAAACCGAGCGCGACAAATCATTCTTTCAACCGAATCACGGATTATTGTCTATGTACAGCAAGGTACGAAAAAAAATCGAGAAATTTGGAAAACTGACTGGAAATCATTCACATGATGTGTCTACATTTACATAAGTATATATACAGGTACGCCGGATTTCATGATGTTCAAACCGATATAAGAACTCCAGAATTCATAAATTGGTGAATTTAAGTTAAACCAGCTGTACAATATGAGTCACTAAGGAATTATTTGACTTTTGTGTGTGGATTTTTTGGAAAAATATAATTCAATCTCTGAATTAAACTGTACCACTGGATATAAATTTCAAATATTAATTATTAAACTGACTAGAAATTTCAAATATACATTGAGAGCAATTGGAACTAATTAGGGAAGTTATAAACATTTTTCCCGCAACTGAGAGTGTTGCATATCCTAAAATAATGTTTCTTTCTAATTCCCTGAACTGTGTAATTTAATAATTATATTGTGCAGTATACACCTTCCATCGTATACAAAATTGAATTAACATAAATTCAGCAATATACGGTAACTGGAAATTCATCAATCGATTGTACAAGCATGAAAACGTAGCATACATCAATTCGATCGAGTCAGAAATTAATTTACTTACGCTTTTACTGTGTATTACTATAGATATACAGGTGTAAGTATAATTATACTTGGAACTTAGGCAGGCCTATTACACTTTGTCGCAGCTGATGGTCTTCAAATGTATCAACGCGAAAGAAAATTAAGCGAAGTGCGTAAAGAAAGTATAGAACATCCAAGTACGTGGCAATCGTTTTATTAAACAGTTTACCGAATAGGAAGACAACAGCGCAAGACAACAATTTGTGTTTTATTGTTAATCGATAATCAACATTTTTGAACACTGTCGGAATGTTTCTTTTTAAAAATTGATTAAAAACTTACAACTACACTCTGAGCAAAATTATGTTTTTTTTTTTAACAAATCCATATTTGCAAATGACTCGAAGTATTTAGTAGAAATTTTTATACAATTTTAAGGACGATTGATTCTCGTGATAATGACGAAGCTTTTCTTTTACCGGTTTTATAATCGCCATGAAGTATTAACGATTTCCTTACACGATAGACTGTATAGGACGAAGTAAACTAAAGAAAGTACACCATTAAATATTACATAGATTCTTCATTAGATTTGTGTTGTTCTAATTTGAGCAGCAACAAAAGATTTCATCGTTTCATTTGACGATGAAAAATCGCAAGTCAGATTTGAATTTACGAACTTATTTGTCGAGTTACCGAAATCACTCGAACAAGATTGCGAAGTTAAAACCTAAAAAGGAAAAAGATTATTATAACTATCGAGTAAATTCGGAAGATTGAAGAGTGTATGTATAATTATAAATATTTGTACATAACGTAGCCTATATTTGAGTCACAACGTTAGAGCTGTGTAAATTTTTCTCAGAGAAAAGAAGAGAAGTAAGATTGAAAGTCCGGCGAAGCGAAGAAGAAGAGAAGAATTCTTGTATTATAATAGGATTATGTCGCGCGTTGGAGTTGCAAGGTATATGTATAAGAAAAAAAATTTTGTATTTATCGAAGAACACAGCGGACACTGAGAAGAAAAAAGCTGACTGGCACGGATTGTCAGGAAATAAGAAAAAATGAATTACTTGAATACGCAAATCATAAATTGTAAAACTATGAAAGCATTTGCGAGTCCATGTTGTGTATTTTATATATAGATTAAAAATGTCGTATATATAAAATACATATTAAGTACGTGGATATAAATATTATACATAAATCAAATCGATTAGTTGAAAACTGAATTTTAGAGAAGAAGAAAATCTTACGGAGAGGCTTTTTATTTTTATTATTTGTAATTACTTAGTTTACATGTTCAACGTTTCGTACGATCGTCGAGATCATAAACAGTATGTGTAAAGGAATAAAAGAAACGGTATATAATAAATAACTAAATACAAAAATGCAGAACTATTTAAAAAGTTATACGTACAAATTATTTATAAACGTTTCTAATTTTCTGATTGCTGACTCAATAATAATTTTATGGTGAATCTCAGCGTACCTAATGAAGCAAAATTTTTATCTAACCAGGATCCTGATTAAAATTTTCTTATCGCTATGCCGCGTTGTCATATGTGCGGGATGTAATTAAATTGTATACTTAACTTCCATGTTTTTTACTTCCACGGTTCACAATTGAAAATTATTAAAAAAACAGGCCCGACCTTTTTAGTTTTGTATAATCAAATCTTGTCTTTATTTAATTCGGAGAATAAAAAGTATAAACACCTAAATACAATAACATATTCTCTTAACGCATCAGTTGCATGTTCATACAATGTAATAGAAAGTTTTGTTAAATACTAATACAGTCTCTGCGTAACTTTATCAATATAAGAATTTACAATTCATAAAAATACATCGTAAAAAATATTTGTAAGCATTACCAAAATCTTACGATATCCTTATGAGAATTATACATAATTTGTGGCTAAAAGCAACCAAGGCTTGGCCGCTTTGTATTCGTTACTTTAGCTTAATATACAACCTTCTGCTCTTTGTGCCATACTTTCTTTATTAGGATTTACTGTGACATGAGGAACCGAAGTAGCAGCGGTGATTCGACTACTGGACGATTGCGTAGACACTGTATTTCCTAAATCCGATGTGTTGCAACTACATATAATATCTCTGGTATCCGTTAACCGTTCAACATCAAATTCTTCAGATTCAGAATCAGTTTTACATCTCATGGATGGGACTCTGAACACAATAGGTATTTGTATTTTCCGCCTGGGCAATAGTCTATCTTTAGTTAATTTCTGAACACAAGCGACGCATGGATCGATTGCACATCGCGGTTTGAAATTCAAAAGCTTGGACTTTTTGTATTTCGATTTTAAACACCTACTATTTATAGTCTTGGTTACAAGAAAGATAACGATAGCGGCTTCATCCAAAATTTCCTCCTCGCTTTCCACGTTGACTGCTTTGTTCTGTTTGTCTATACAATAACTTATTAATTTGTTAGATGTAATTTTCTTCACTTGCGCTATTCGCAGATTTTCTGTAGATATAACCGTTTGCGCGTAACTCGATTCACAACAGACGTTATCCTCGATTTTCGACTGATTCTGCTTTATAGGCGTGGAAGTAGCAATTGGCAAATTTAACAAGTCGAAAGTGGGAAATAAGGGTCCATCGGATTTCACGCTTTGGATTTCAACATTTTTTATTTTTTTCGAATAATCCTTGTGCTTCACCGGTTTGATATCTATTTCCTTGCAATTTTCGTCTTTTCCGATATCTTCTTCATTTTCACTTTTTTTACCCATTTCCCGTTGAGGAACCACATCATTTCTTTTAAAATCGGAATCGTTTTCCAGCTTTCGAAAATCTGGACACGGTTCCTGCACGAACATATTCTTTTTTTCAGGATTCTGTGTTACTATATCTTTCGTCTGATGCGGCATAACGCAGTAGCTCTGCAAAACGGGCACGGTCTTATCGTTCCCCTTCCTTTTAATCTTCACATGTTTACTCATAATCAACAAATGCTCTTCAAGGGTCTCCGTGTGTTTCTTAATTTCTTTTAGAACCTTCATGCATTCTGGACGCAATATTTCCGTCGGATTGAAAACATCTCTTTCATTTTTACGATCCTCCTTTTTACATTTCATACGCTCCAATTGGTGCTTTGTCGCGTTTTGGTCTCTGCACCGTTTCACTTCATGCAATATACTTTGCAGTATGTCCAACGCGCTGTCAATCGTGCTTATGCATTTATTTTCATATTCGTATGCGTGAAACTCTTTCTTTATCCTTGTTGACACGCAATACGTCGATTTTGCGTTTGAAGCCGGGCGTTCGGTTTGTTGCTCACTGGAATACTTATTCTTATCGCAAATCGCATTGGTACAATAATCCACAGCTCTTTTATTTAAGGATTTATTGATTTGTAATGCTTCATGAGTTTTGTGGATATTCCTTAGACCCTTAGAAAGGGCAGTCTTTTCGACAAGGTTGTTGTTAACATCGGATGTCGTCAGAGGAGGTATATCTTCGGGCATATTCATTGATTTGTTACTTTCATATGCATAGCTTTCTGCTACTCTATGTTTCTCATGATGGAATCTTCGAGTTCTATAAACCTTGTCCATTTTATTAGTACAAACAGTGTTTTCATATCTGCTTTCAGTCGGGTTTCTGTCGGTGCTAAGCGTAAGAGTTTCTTGAAACAAGTTAATTGATTTCTCTTCTCTTTTATTCTTTTTATGATCAGTCTTATAGTCATCCATCTTATTAATACAAACAGTGTTTTTGGACTGAATTATCGAACTTTTATTGATATCAGGTACCGCAAGAGTACCTACATCTTGAAGCAAATCAACTGATTTGTTAATTTTACACATACATTTGTTAGTAACATTTATATCACTAATTTCTACTAGTTTATGTTTTTCATGGTCAGTCTTAGGATCATCCATTTTGCTAGTGCAAATAGTGTGTTTAAATTGATCAGTTGCAATAAACTTTCTATTGCTACTGCATGTCGTGAGAGTGCTTACGTCTTGAAACGAATGGATTCGCTTTTTGATATTAAATGTGCGAATATTAATCGCGTTTACATTTCCGTTTTCTGCTGTCTTGTATTTTTCATGATCAGCCTTTGATGTGTCCATTTTATTGGTGCATACAGTATTTTCAATTTCTTTAGTTTCTAACAAATTTCCATTTGTCTTTGCGTTATATCTCTCATAATTACTCTTACTAATATCGGATATTTTGTTAGTGCATACAGTGTTTAAAATATTGTTGCTGTTAGCTGAATTGCCGAATGTGTCCAATACTCTAGGGGTACTTGTAAATAAGAATTCATTCCGTGAAGTAATGCTCGTTCGTCTTGGAAACGCATTGAATGGTATGGGGTCAGGTGACGCGATAACAGATTTCAGTTGAGTACTTACAGGATCTTCCAAAGTAGATTTCAAAGTTGGAACATTCACAAACGTAAGAGAATTTTTCAGACTCGGCTGCAAGCCACTTGTCTCTTTACTTTCATGAAACTTCCGTGGATCTTTGAAAAATCTCGCGGGATATTCAACGAACTGACGAACATTCATATCAGCTTTTTTATGCGTGCTAGTTATATTTTCATCGTATGCTGTTGACTGTCCTAAATTTGATAATAAGTTATTTTTAACTGCATTTGAGCAGAATTGAATATTTTCTCTCATCTGATTTGGGTAAATTGTATGAAAGGACGGATTGTTATGTCGAATTTGCGAACAGTCTAGATCTTCAGTCTGTCTATTTCCATACTGTATTCCTCTGCATGATTTCCATATTTCCTTCTGCGATGAATCAAAATTTGGACAATTCTTTATTCCAAAGCACTTTTCGTTGGTAAACGAATTGGCTCGCGATACGTTTATAGTTTTAAAATGTTCAACTGTCATCATATCTCTGTTGTCTTGAAACGTGGGTGCAGTTTCCTTTTGCAAGTAGTTGTAATCACTGGAATGCATTTTGCAATTCGAGCGCAAGACGATGTTTATGCAGGGAACATCTCTCGCGTGGTTACATCTATAATTATTATCGGGGTTCCAAATTCCCAAACGCGCTGCGGTGATCCTCGATCCGCTTCTCTCTGTTTGCCCGCCGGCGCGTTCCCTGTACGCATCGCTCTGCAAATATCTATCGATCAGGCTAGCGTTAAACGACTTTTATATTACCACGTTTAGATCTACGTTAAAACTGTCGGGTGTTGAGTTTAAAGACCTGTAAATAGAAAAAAAGATTCGATGAAAACTCGTACGAGATCTCGTAGACTGTTCATAAAATTTGAATGAAACTGTAAGTGAAAATCTAGAGGATGAACTTAATCTTGTGCAAATTTCAAAATGATTGACTTCTTATTTTTCTTAAAGACATTTCTCAGTCATATAATTGCCCCATCTTTCCAACTACGTACAAGACATCGTATTGAAACTTTTTTATTGCTTTTATCCACAAAAGAATCACACGAGGGCAACACGCTACTCGGACGTAATACAAAAAAATTTTGGACACGGTCATAAAAGTTTTGGAACATTATTATTAGGGATCGTAGAATCATGCTGCTTTGAGGCGTCCACTTCGTTAATTGGAATAGGAGGTACGAACGGCAGTTTTTTCGACGAAGATACATGCGACACGTTCCTCAAGGGCAGACACTTGCAACCCAAGGGAAAGGAATAACGTTCGATTACCGTTCGCGTACCACAATTGATGACAGGGTGTTTGGGGATTGCGGTGTAAGGTTGCTTCAGCCAATCCACTTGCCTGGCAGTTCAATTTTTGTTTTCTTTCGTTGGTTTTATCGAACGAGTTCGTGTCGTAGAGGTGGAAAATATATGTCAAAGTATAGTTTACGATAAATTACATAAAATGAAATATGTAAACATGCAGTTGTTTCTAATACAAGAAATTTGAAGTTCTTTATAATGCAATAGAAATCCACCTCTGCTCACACAACAAGTTACTAATCCATTCACAATGAACATTTTCTACCTGCATTTAGTGTCGCACTCGTTAGGAACTTGATTATTAGGAAGTGGAGTTTGGGGAAGCGGATCGGGGGAGTCTTCCAATGATCTAGAAAAAGCAGCAGTGTAATTTTCCTAGGAATTCAAATATTAAACAAGGAAGTAGTTTCATGTGATACCTGCGACTCTCTTCGTCCTTTTTCGCGCGATCAAATCTCTCGTTTGTAACTTGTCTACGGAGTTCGCTAATTTGCTTGCAGTACTCCGCCGCTTGCGTTTGATACTGCCGTAGCTTTGACGATTCTGAAGATCTACAAAAGTGACAAAGAATTTTTTAAATTATGCAATTAAAACATAGGAAAATTGCGGGGGTTCTTATTATTTGTTTGGAATCATTGTATATTTATTACTTATATACTTTATAAAAACTTGCATTGTTCTTACAATTTTTCCTGAAGCTCAGACATTTTCAGCCTCATCCTAGTCATTTCGTTTTGTAGCTCTTGATTGTTAGCCTGCGCGGTTATGGATTCCTGTCTCGCTTGATCTAATAGCATTTCGAGCCGTTCCACAGTTGCTCGATCTTTCCCCATTTGATCCTGAATTACAGCCTGTTCCGCTTTCAATTTTGCGATTTGCATATCATACTGGAAAAGAATTTTCCCTCGATTTATAGACTGATCATCATTTCCATTCCAAGTTTGATACCAAATTATTAATAATAATTATGGTGATTGAATATCGTTTAAAATATTATTTTAACGAAATTAAATAAAGAATTCCTTTGTTAGTGTATATCAAAAATACTTACCTGCGCTTTAATTGTGTCTTTACCATCCAATTGCTGCATAAGCGAATCCTTCTGCTGATCGAGTTTCATACACAAATCTCTGACGGCAGTCAAGTCTGCTTCTGTCCTGTGTCTCTGTTCCCCCTGTTGACGCAGTTGTGTCTCCATACTAGCCACATTTTGAGTCAATTCGCTAATCTTAAAAATTCAAATGCAAATTCATAGCAGATTTATTATTTAACACAATAATTTTTGTTAACTATAGTACATCATCTTATTTAGTACAGTATATTGTTCGTTGTATTACAGTGTCAAGTCGGTTCATAACAGTTTCTCTAATTGGATAACGTATTTGCAGATAACGATATGGTGATTTTACGATACATGTTAATAAAGATTTGTATAAAACAACTCTTTTTACCTGTGTTTCATAACCCCTTATCAAACAGTCTTTGTCAACCAATTGTCGCTCCAAATCCAATAACCGGTCCCTAGCCGATTGAAGGGCGCCTCTCGCTTCCGCCGCTTCGGATTCTAAGCTATGATTATTGTTCTCCAAAACAGTTGCTTCTAAGCTTAAGCTTCTGAAGTGATTCAGCATCTCCGTCCTTTCATTCTCCTACAAAATGTAACAAATAAGAATATTTTCATTACTAAAATCCTATTTTTATTGTATTAAGTTTATGATAAAAACTTTTTCTATAAAAATATAAGAAACATTATGGAATGAATAAATAATATGGAACTTTTTTGAAATTCGTGGAGTTCACTTTTGATTTTCAATAGAATTACCTTTCTATTGAGAAGCTCTTCGACCCGGCGGACCTCGGTGACGTACGTTTGAAGTTGTTTCTTCAGGTCGAAGGACTCGGCACGAGACGCCTCCAATTCCCGTTGTAAATTTCTGACCTCGCAAGTGGCTGCTGCCAAATCGTCCTGAATCCGACGATTCTCCTGGATCGCATTCTCCCGGTCGTACGAAGACGTATGCAACTGCCGCTGAAGATTCTCCACCTCCAGCTGCATCGATCTTAACTGTCTCTCCAGGTCCACGCTCTGGTCCACGCATACGCTAATATTTCGAACATAAGAACAATTTTATTATACGTGAAATATACAAATCCTATTCCTTTTCAAATCTTGTATTATATTCTTTTGTACAATGTCTTTCATTTCTTTAGATACACTTGTTCTCTGGCTATTAAGAGTACGAAATCACTAATTGGGAACTTGCCAAATTTTTTATAATGTGAAAGCGGATTATTTAAAACTAGTACCATGCTTCATCATAGTGTTTAATATTTAGTTCGTGTCTATTCGATTACACCCATCGTTCCAGTAAAAGAGGACAAGGGCAACAAGAATTAGTTACTTAATAGTGTCCTCGAAAAGATATTCACTGTGGCCGGGTTTCATTTCACTTGCGCTTGTAGATCACGTAGGCCCGAAAACGACTTTATTAGGGATTAACTAAACGCCGAATGCGTAAGGAAGGACGAGTCGTAGAAAGTTAACGGATGATGAATCGAATAACATTCGTCACTGCCCGTTATTATAAGAGTAAATTCACTCAGCTAGCTCAATGAAATAAAGCATTTACATAAAATATTTTTTAATGATATTACTTGTTGTATTACAGTGTCAAGTCGGTTCATAACAGTTTCTCTAATTGGATAACGTATTTGCAGATAACGATATGGTGATTTTACGATACATGTTAATAAAGATTTGTATAAAACAACTCTTTTTACCTGTGTTTCATAACCCCTTATCAAACAGTCTTTGTCAACCAATTGTCGCTCCAAATCCAATAACCGGTCCCTAGCCGATTGAAGGGCGCCTCTCGCTTCCGCCGCTTCGGATTCTAAGCTATGATTATTGTTCTCCAAAACAGTTGCTTCTAAGCTTAAGCTTCTGAAGTGATTCAGCATCTCCGTCCTTTCATTCTCCTACAAAATGTAACAAATAAGAATATTTTCATTACTAAAATCCTATTTTTATTGTATTAAGTTTATGATAAAAACTTTTTCTATAAAAATATAAGAAACATTATGGAATGAATAAATAATATGGAACTTTTTTGAAATTCGTGGAGTTCACTTTTGATTTTCAATAGAATTACCTTTCTATTGAGAAGCTCTTCGACCCGGCGGACCTCGGTGACGTACGTTTGAAGTTGTTTCTTCAGGTCGAAGGACTCGGCACGAGACGCCTCCAATTCCCGTTGTAAATTTCTGACCTCGCAAGTGGCTGCTGCCAAATCGTCCTGAATCCGACGATTCTCCTGGATCGCATTCTCCCGGTCGTACGAAGACGTATGCAACTGCCGCTGAAGATTCTCCACCTCCAGCTGCATCGATCTTAACTGTCTCTCCAGGTCCACGCTCTGGTCCACGCATACGCTAATATTTCGAACATAAGAACAATTTTATTATACGTGAAATATACAAATCCTATTCCTTTTCAAATCTTGTATTATATTCTTTTGTACAATGTCTTTCATTTCTTTAGATACACTTGTTCTCTGGCTATTAAGAGTACGAAATCACTAATTGGGAACTTGCCAAATTTTTTATAATGTGAAAGCGGATTATTTAAAACTAGTACCATGCTTCATCATAGTGTTTAATATTTAGTTCGTGTCTATTCGATTACACCCATCGTTCCAGTAAAAGAGGACAAGGGCAACAAGAATTAGTTACTTAATAGTGTCCTCGAAAAGATATTCACTGTGGCCGGGTTTCATTTCACTTGCGCTTGTAGATCACGTAGGCCCGAAAACGACTTTATTAGGGATTAACTAAACGCCGAATGCGTAAGGAAGGACGAGTCGTAGAAAGTTAACGGATGATGAATCGAATAACATTCGTCACTGCCCGTTATTATAAGAGTAAATTCACTCAGCTAGCTCAATGAAATAAAGCATTTACATAAAATATTTTTTAATGATATTACTAAATAATTCTTATCTTATTTAATCTTTTCAAATACTATTTACCTCTAACAGTGTAATGAGCGAGTTTGGAAGGCTCGCACGTGAAAAGACAACACAAGAGTATGTTAAGTTTTTGTTTCTATTTTACTTTAGGTGTAATATTTAAGGTATTATGGTGGACCTGTAAAAAACTGAGAGAGACCATTTATTACTTTCTTTCTATCTCATAGTTAATATCATTAGTGGAAAGTGAATGGAGAAAATGTTTCACGGAATTGAATAGATTTTTGAAAAATCAATTCTGATCATTAAGAATTTGAATAGTCATAAAAGACATTTCATAAAATATAATAGGATATTTTTACTTTGGGATATAATGTGGGGTGAACGTGATGTATTTGTTAAAGCTAAGGATGATCGATCGTCTGGGTCTCGATTACGTGTCTGTGCATTACGTAAGACGACGCGACGGGATTGGAAAAGGAAAAGGTCCGGGAATAGCTTGTTCACCGAACAGGCGACTTTCTCTCATCTCGTTGTCCTTCCCCGAGACGAGATTGCATGCCAGCTTCCTTCGACGATCCGTACAACGCCTTTTCCTTCGTGCGAAAGTGAAAACGGCACCCAAAATTTTCGCAATATAAGCGTAAATTAATTCAGGGAATTCTTAAATTCATTAAACTGACAAAATTATTGGACTGATAAAATGAATTTGCAATTGGAACTTGCTTTTAAAAATCTTAAATCCTTTTAAAATAATCGTCCATCTATTAGAATGTTTTAACAATAAGACTTGCTTTTAAATTAGTAGTATAACATGAAGGAGAAATCAATTTTTAATTTATAATACAATAATAAGTGATAAAATTAATGAGTGTGAGTAATAATAACGTCAGAATTCCAAGTAAATACATAGTATATTTTTTTTCGCTGCGTTTGTTCGTAAGGTCCGTGACATGATTCCGACTATTGTTATCATACAGTCATAATCAATTCATTGATCCTCACGCCATTCTAAACGCCATTAATGCTTTATCCTGCACATCGTATGTTTTATTTCACACTCAATTTACAATTTTATTTACAATTTCTTGTAGAATATTTTCATTTTTATATGCTCAAAAATCAAATCTACAAATGATAATTGTTTTATTGTTTCCCAATAAAATACGTTTTTTTTTACATCGAAATAAAAATATTAGAAAGAGAACAATTTATTTCGAACCAAGAATCTTACGATTTTCTCTTTTGCTTTTTCTAGCATTAAAACTTGATACCCGCTTCTGTTAGATTTGAGATAAGGTCATAGATCATCCAAACTCAACATCCGCCGGATGCGGAAAGAGATACGATATGCGAATCTGTGTATCTAATTGGTAAAGAGAAGGAATGCAGCAGTTCATAACTTTCATGTGAGTTCTCGTGGCGTACGCGCCATGTGTGCCGATGAAATGACCACGGAAGTTCACCAGTATTAAATTTCCCTTTCGTTTAATTGCGGTAAGAGTTTACTTTATTTTCCAACGGGCTACTTTCATAATCGCGAATCAAACGATAGAAACCTCCGATTTACAGTTACGTTTAAATGAGCACATAATGTCTTGTTAAAGCGAAAAATAAAGGGAAAAAATAGAATACGATAGTGGCAGGTGAAATGAACCACGAAAGACATTATTAATCGTTAATCATTACGATGATTTACAAGCAAACGCTTTCTACGAAACAGGGAAGTCTCCGGCAGACCTTTACTGGACAGTTTACATTGAATGTGACATTCCTATCGACAACAGTATTTTATAAAATTTATGAGATAATTCTATCTCATTAGAAAGGCGAGAGACCATTTTATTATGGAAAAAAGTATTAAGGAATAAAAAACTAAAAAATGAAAGTAGAATCTTCTCAAATAAAAACCCAAGGTCATTGTATGTCTGTTCCTTTCGTTAGACGACGTAATTGAACAAGGCAAGGCATACTTTTGTTCTCACCGGTTTAAAACAATGTCCCTGAAATCGATAGAGAAGCCCTCATCCACGTAGGCTCGCGTTACGAGATTCTCGATCATTTATAATTCCTTTCGTGGAATTCTCGAACGCAATTCGATCCAGGAACCACCTTTCAAGTACAATCATGCCTGAGAAATGAAATTAAGTAATGGAATTTCCCAGGTTTCTTCAACACTATTTCATGGAACAATTAAATGAGCGCATTAAACAGTTCGTTACTTATAACATTGGAATTTGCATATTAAAATCTTTTATTAACGAAGCAAGTGATCCCAATACGCTTAATGTTTTTTCCCATATAATCCTTGTTCAAGAGCCTAATATTAATGAAATTAGTTTATGATTTCAATGAATTTGTACATTTCTTATGTACGGGGATAAGAACTATAATGGTGTAAATTATTTGTCTGCCAAGTTGTGACTTGCCTTGCTTTCTCCAATTATTAATTCGTTCAAAGAAAATGTGAAGTGGGTAAGTCTGGACTCATCTCCTTCGCAAATTGATAGCAGCACAAGAAAGGGACGTAACAGAACAGCTGTACCATTTCCGGAGCCTTGACATTTCGATAAGTGATTTACCCCACTTTTTTACTTTTGCTTCATATAATTTTCATTAGATGTTCCAAACAATTGTACAAATTATATATAAAATATATACAGTAATTATAATACGTCCAATAGAATTTTATTGCATAGTAGAATGTAATGATAAAAAGCAGAGTAATCTTCTAATAAAAAATAATCTTGGAAGTCCGCAAGAATTGTTCAACAAGGTGTATTGACCCCAGCCTTAACTTAAGAACCTAAGGGATCGGTACATGGAATCCCTGAAAGCCTTAAATATAACATTCTACCTACATACAGGGTGTTCCGTAAAGGGTGTAAGAGCCGAAAATGGCAGATAGGGAGGGTCTTCCTGAACAACAATTTCCTTTGGCAAAATGCAGAATGGGGCTTGGTTACCGAGTTATTAACAAAAAACACGGACCAATCAGAGCGCTCGGTCTACGCGGGCTCCGACTCGGGAGCGTTGGCTCCGGCTCGGGATCGGATCCGGGCCAACGCTCCCGAGTCGGAGCCCGCGTAGACCGAGCGCTCTGATTGGTCCGTGTTTTTTGTTAATAACTCGGTAACCAAGCCCCATTCTGCATTTTGCCAAAGGAAATTGTTGTTCAGGAAGACCCTCCCTATCTGCCATTTTCGGCTCTTACACCCTTTACGGAACACCCTGTAT